AAAGGGGTCCTGAGAGCAGGCTAAAGAGCCGGAGACATCCCCACTCCCAGGAGTCCCACAGAAATCCCAAGCTAAAAAATCAGTGCATATATGCAGAGGATTTATCACAGAGCTATGAGGTTGCATGGTTGCTGCTTTAATCTCTGAGTCCCTATGAACCCTACTTAGTTGAATCTGTGAACCATATTCTCTTGGTGTCCTAGACCCCAGTGGCTCCTACAGTTCTTCCTCCCTCTCTTCTGCACAGTTCCTGAGCTCTGCCTAACACTTGGGTATGGGTCTGTACATCTGCTCCCATCAGCTGCCAGAGGAAAGCCTCCTCTCAGATGACAATTGGGCTAGGCACCAGTCTGGTCTCCTAGCAGCTGTGACCTGTGGACAAGATAAATATTTTAAGGTATGTGGTAGACCTGATGTCCTGTATTTTAATACAGAATTCAAGATTATTTCTATTCTTAAAAGTAGTATTTTCCTAATTCTTGTGTTTACATGACATTTTGTGTGTTGGAAGAAACAATGCAGCAGAGTTGTCTAAAAGAAATTAATTTAGGTTGTAAGAGCTTTAGAGTAGTGGCTTGGTGAGTTTTTTTTTTTTAATATAACAATAAAAAATAAGGAAGTTATATATACAATCTAATTTCCTTATTTCTGTTTTACAATATCACTGTGGGCTGGGTGTATAGTTCAGTGGTAGAATAGCATGCACAAGACCCTAGGTTTCATTCCCTAGCACTCTTGCTTTCCCCCATAAAAACCACTATTTCCTACTTCCCTCGTTGAAAGTATAGCTTAGGACTCGTTTCTGTTCATCTATTTTGAAATTTGTAGACTCATTGTTGAGTTTCCTTCCTACTGTGAGGTAAAAGGAATGATAGGCTGTATGTAGTACATTTGGTATAGGATTATTGGAAACGTTACATTTTATTCTAGTTTTTTGTGATGCTATTAATTTCAGAATAGTCTTTGGAAAATGAATAAATCTTAATGCTGTTTATTGTGGTGGGCTTCTTTAATCCCAGCATTTGAGTTCAGGCTAATCTTGTCTGCATAGTGAGGTGCAGGCCCACTATGGCTGTATAGTGAGAATCTGCCTAGAAACAAATAGGGCTGGAGAGCACTACCTGTTCTTAAAAGGGATTAGAGTTTGGTTCCAACTTACAAACCTACCTATAACTCCAGTTTGAGGGCATCCAGCACTTCCTTTTGTTCTCTGCGGGCACCAGGCATGCATGTGATACACAAACATACATGCAGGAGCTTTTGCATACACATAAAACGAAAGTAAATCTGTAGGAATGTTCTTTCAAGGACATTCAACAGAACTCTTAATTGTTTTGCCTAATCTTGTTTGGTGAGTGTATTCATGGTACTATGTTGTGGGAAAACAGTTTGTGATCCACCAGTTAACCTTTTGAATAATAGCTAGAATTTCAGTGTGCAAATTATAGAACTGATATTTTGGAGGTGAAAGTGAGCATATCTGAAGAGGGATATCAGTTTACTGGCTCAATCAAACAGTACAAAGAAAGGTGTTGGAAGAGAAGTTGAAAAGATAGGGTAGCTGGGTAATGGTGGCATAATACCTTCAGTACAGCACTTGGTAGGCAAAGGCAGGCTGATATCTGAGTTGGAGGACAGCCAGGCTACACAGAGAAACCGATCTCAAAAACCCACCACCAACAACAGAAAAAGGGAGAGTTAGGGAATTCTGAGCGATAACCTGTGAAGTTTGAATTTATTTTATAAGATGTAGAGATTTATTATTATTTTGCAGTGCAACAGATGGAATCCACAGCTTTGTACATGCCAAGTAGGGCTCTGCCACACAGCTACCTCCCATTCCAACAGATCAGAAAAAGGAGTAGAGGAGATGCCATAGATCCTTAGTTTAAAGCTGACATAGGACCAAAAGTTAACTTTGCCATTTTAGAGTAGAAAGTATATGTGACAAAGGATGGCTCTTTAGTGTAATTAGATAGAACTCAGTTGTAGGAAGACTAATTTAAGAGTGGTATATAGGTCAATTGTAATCCTAAAAGTGTGCATATCATCTAGAAAAAATAAAGCAGTAAAAATAAAGGGCTAGAGTATGATTATGTTGCTATAACATTTTTGTTTTTCTCTATAGGTTAAAGCTTTCTTGTAACAAGTAAGGTAAACTACTCTCAGCACTTTCTCGTTTATTTTTCATTCTTAATACCTGACTCAGTGCTTGTCACACTGAAATTTCTCAGCAAGTATAAAGAAATCTCCCTTAAGGAAGCATAGTTCATCTGTATCAAATTGTTTTTGGACTTAATGTTAAAATCTATTTCTGGGCCACAGGGAAGGGATAACTATAATTGCACTTGAGGTATCATCTGGCCAAGTCCTCTTGTTTTTTGTTAAGGTAAACATTCATAGTTAATCATATTAAGTCTCCTGATGCCTGGTTCTCTGCTATTAAGATTACTATGATTGACAAGGAGATGGGTAACAGTTTATTCCTCTGCTGAACATTTTTGTAGTTTATGCTCTCTGAAAACAGTCTGTGTTGGTGTTAACATTCTTTTCAGTGCTAATGGTTTTAGCCTAGCTTATATTTGTTGCCTGAATAATAATCACTAGGAGATATAAAATTATTATAACTTGAACATTATAATGTTGACTTAATTCTTTCATTTGTATTATTAGCTGTTTTGTCTACTTGAGGCAGGGTCTTATATGTTATGTTGCTCTGGCTATTTAATATGTATGGGGGTGTTTTGCCTTCCATATATGTCTGTGTCCCGCTTGGGTGTCTACCAGCCTCAAGCCAGAAGGAGCCATTAGATTTGCTGGAACAGGAGTTACAGGACAGTTTTGAGCCATCATGTGGGTGCTAGGAAAGTGAACTTTAGTCCTCTGGAAGAACAGGCAGGGCTCTTAACCATTTTACTAGCCACAAAGTCAAACTCTGTTAGTTGTCATTCTTTTGTAAAGTAGAGCTTTCCTTTAGTTGGGGTTTGATTCCTCTGAATTCCCTTCCCTTCTGAAAAGATAATTGGGCAGGCCTTTCTCTTTTTGATATCAATTCTCTGATTTATTTTTTTTTCTATATCAGAGTGACTAGTTTACATGTTGATCTCTGCTATTTGTTCTCTCCCTCTTCTCTCCTTGCCTTGATGGTTATGGTGATAGTATCTTTGCTATTATTTCATATTCTATATTATATTTTTCTGTAGGACATGTGGCATCGTGTTAATTCCTCTGGTTTTAGCATTTTTTTGAAGTACTCATATTTTATTGATTTTTTTTTTTAGTCTACTATAATTATTACTCTTTTAACTAAATTATTAGTATGATCTGTAAAAAAGGTTTCCTTTTAGCTAGTTCTGTATTGCCATGAAAGCCCCATTAGATTTTGCCTTTTGGCACAAAAAGATGCCCTTGATTCATGTGGTATATTTCTTGTACCATATTTTCAACTATCTATCTTACAAAGAACTTTGTGTTTTTGGTAGTTTGTCTGTGGTCAGTCTTACTCTAGATATAATAAGTGGAAAATTACAGAAATGTGCATAGATTCTTAAGTTTTAGATCAGAAGCCATTTCTATAGCATGGTGAATACTTGTGCTGTCCCATACCCAGGAAATAAATAATGCCTTTATCCAGTGTATTCATATTGAATAAACTACCTGCCCCTTAATCATTTGGTCTGGCATATTAGATGAACTATGATGGTACCACAGTGGCTAGTGTTCAAGTAATGCTTATTTTGCTAAGTGGCCCCAAGACACAGCAGTACAGATACTAGCAATTTGGTGGATAAGTGGCTTATATGTGGAGTATAGACGTTTCAGCAGGGCAGTGGTAGCCCATGCCTTTTAATCCAGCACTTAGGAACCAGAGACATGTGGATCTCTGAGTTTGAGTCCAGACTGGTCTACAGAGCAAGTTCCAGGACAGGCTCCAGAGCTACAGAGAAACCCTGTCTTGAAAAAACAAAACAAACACAAGTTTCCCCATATGATAGTGGAGTATATTTTAAGATTCTCAATGGATGCCTAAGGCTTTAATAGTAGCGAACCCTATGCATATCATATGCCCACTTCTGCATACACACATACTTATCATAACATTTGCTTTCTAAATTAAGCATAATAGATTAATAGTTGAATGTAAAGCTAGCAAGAATTTATTTTTCCTAAAGTTGAGAACTTTCACATTTTAAGTCAGAGAAAACACTTTACTACATCTTTGCTTTCTAAATTCTGAGCATCATTGTTCTTGTATCTGGGGATATTAGTAAATAAGATACTTAAATACAGGTACTGTGATACTGTGACAGTATATTCTAAACAGCTACTAAGTGTATGTAATGTGGACATTTTACATGAAGGGATGATTCCTTGGTAGAAGGAGAGTATCTTCTGCAAGTTTCCCTCTGGTCTCCTCATGCCTGTGTGTGTGCATAAGAGCATGTGTATGTGTACACACACACACACACACACAGATAAATGTAAAAGACATTAAAGATGAAATTATGAATTCATGCAGATTATATTGATTCGGTTGTGGTTAACTTGTGTGATGTTCAGGTTTTCTTCTATTTGGCCAGTGGAGCCCTTTTTAAGCTAACAGCTATGTTTTCTTCAGCTATCACATCTATTATCTTCCTGGTTTTAATCAGATGTATCCTGGAACTGAAAATCACCATTTCTACATGGAACGCCTAGTTCCTTTTGCTAGTAAATCCTATTTAATGATCCTAATACGTGTCTGCTTTTAAAATTTTTTTTATACATTGGTATTTTGCCTGCATGTATGTGAGGGTGTCAGATCTTGGAATTACAGACAGTTGTGAGCTGCCATGTGGTTGCTGGGAATTGAACCTGGTCCTCTGGAAGAACAGTCAGTGCTCTTAACTGCTGAGCCATCTCTCCAGCCCCCAGGTGCCTGCTTTTTAAGAAATGATGTTTTTATTTATTTGGTTCTTCAATATGTACTGATTAGTTTCTTTTCTTCATTTATTTAACAGGCATGCCCAAAGAAAAATACGAGCCCCCTGACCCTCGGAGGATGTACACAATTATGTCCTCTGAGGAAGCAGCTAATGGAAAGAAATCACATTGGGCAGAGCTTGAAATAAGTGGTAAGACATGGAAGCATGAATTTATGGCATAGAAATTAAAAGTATGGTGGAAAATTAGGTTTTCTATTATTAATACACATAGAAAACAACAATTGTATTTGAGTCAGAATTTAAATCTCATTGACTGCCAACTACTTACTTCAACTCTAAAGGAAATAGTAGGGACTGTGGATTTTAGTGTTTTTATTAATATGATTACTTGTCTTGGTCTGTAATAGATAAGTTTGTATGTGGAAACAGTCTAGTTGAAGTCTTAAAGCTGAGACTGTTTTCATAGAGATAATTTAGCATAAGTTTCTTTTCTCTTTTGAAGCAGGGTTTCTCTGTGTGGACTTAGCTGTTCTGGAACTCACTTTGTAGACAAGGCTGGCCTCACTCACAGAGATCTGTCTACCTGGGATTAAAGGCATGCACCACCACTGCCTGGCTGGGCTACCACTTCCTGTCTGGCATAAATTTCTTAAAGACAGTATATTTAGAAGTTCTGTAGGAAGCTGGAGATATGGCTCCCTGGTTCCAAGCATGTGCTGCTTTTCCAGAGGTCTGCAGTTTGGTTGCTTGCTAGCACTCTTCAGGCTACATCCCTAGTCAGTCCTTGTAGTTTTAAATTATGCTTATTTAAGCATTGTAGAGTAGCTCCTCCACCTTCTTTATCTAGTAGCTTTCTTTATTACAGGTTCCCTCTCCAAATTTTCTTTTCCTTGCTGTTTGTGTGTTGACAGTCAAGCACTTTTTTTTTCCCAGCCTGTACTTTTCAGATTGCATACTCAAAATGCAGCTCAGTATATTCTTCATCTATTTTCTACAGATAGATGGCTGGGTAGTCCAGAGTCTAAAACAGACTTGAGATTTAAGCTTTTGGACAGGAATTAAGATGGTGTCTCATGGGTGGCATCATGAAGATGATACAGTACATTTTCTTTAGAAGCAATGTAAGATCTGAAAGCTTTCCTATTGCTGTTTACTGGCCAAAGCCATTGATTCTTTGAGGATTGTAGTGTGGGTTCTTTGCTATATTTTTTTCATTATCTGAGATACATTTATAAAAAGAAACATTTTTCCATTTACTTTTTATTGCCTGATTGTCCTAATTAGGGTTTTTATTGCTGTAAAGAGACCCCATGACCACAGCAACTCAGGTGCTGGAGAGGTAGCTTAGAGTTCTACATCTAGATCAGCAGGCAGCAGGACAAGGGGAGAGACAGAGAGGAGAGAGAAACCCTAAAGTAGATTGAGCCCCAGTGACACACTCCAACAAGGCAATGCCACTTGCTATACTTTCAAATATCAGTCAGTTGGGCATTCTTACTCAAACTACCACACTGAAAATATATTTTGTATAGGAAAGAAAGACTGTGTGTCTGTGTTTTTTTGTAGGTATGTATGCCAGAGGTTGATATTAGGTATCTGCCTCAATTGTTCTCAGCCTTATTATTTGAGGCTTGGTCTTTTACTGGAAACCTTTGTCAGCAAAACTGAGTGAAGTGTGAAGTTCCTGTATCCTTGCCTGCAATAGGCTTTTTCCATTGTTAGCATCTTATATTAGTGATACATTTATTACAACATTTAGTAAGTTGACACATTATCATTCACAGTCTGTAGTTTACATTAGGGTTCTTGTGATGTTCTGTATAATTGTATATAGCAGTAGTTCTCATCCTGTGGGTCAGGCCCCTTTGGGCTCACCTATCAGGTATTTACATTATGATTTATAACAGTAGCAAAATTACAGTTATAAGTAGCAATAAAAATAATTTTATGATTGGGGTCACCAACATGAGGAACTGTATTAAAGGGTTATATCATTAGCAAGGTTGAGAACCACTGGACTAGAATAAGCCAGAACAAACCCATTCTTCTCTTAAGTTGCTTTGTCAGCAACAAAACAAGAACTAATACAAGTCTTTAATCAGATATCTTTCTCATTCTTGTGTTTTCACTTTGGAGAATAAGTCCAAGGCCTCATACATTGCCCAGATGTCCCCTTTTATAAATAGTTTCTTCCACTCTGTGGCTTTTCTCATTCTCTTGATAGTTGAGGGCAGACATTTTTATATTTAAATGTATTTTGTTTGGTATTGCATTGAATCTGTGTATTAAGTTGGGAAGATTTGACATTTTTTGGCAATATTGAATCTTCCTAGCTGTGAACATGGGCTGTTTTTTTCAACTACTCATTGTTACGATTTCTTTCTATGGAATTTCATACTTTTCATCATTTTGTATCTCTCCTTTTTCTTAGTGCACATGTAAATGGGGGTGTTTTTACTTTAAATTCCATTTATTCATTTTGGCATATCAAACAGAGTGATTGACTTTAAGTCTTCCTTTATGATTTTTAAATTTTACCCATGTGTTATAGTTCTCACTGTATGTTGATACTGTTTCATTAAATATCAAATAATAAGTTGTTTTGTCCACCTAGGTTTACCAGTGTTCTTTTTTTTTTTTCCTCTTTTTCTTTTTTTTCTTCCTCTCTTCCTCTGAGACAGGGTTTCTGGGTTTTTTGTCTGTTTTAATTTTTTCAAGACAGGCTTTCTATGTGTAGCTTTGGAGCGTGTCCTGGAACTCACTCTGTAGACCAGGCTGGCCTCACAAACTCACAGAGATCCACCTGCCTCTGCCTTCTGAATGCTGGGATTAAAGGTGTGAACTACCACTGCTCAGCCTTGTGTCACTGGCTTTAAGCACCATGATTATGGTGTGTCTGGTGTAGTGTCCCCCTCCACTTTCTTTGGTGATTGGATTTATTCAAGCTTCTTAGATCTGTGGGTTTACAGTTTACACCACTATTGCCAGATTATTTTGTTCCGCTTTCCTCCTCTGTCCCTTTGGAATGTGGTTACTTTTTTTTTTTTTTTTTAAGCTTACTTAAAGATGTCTTATAGATTAGTTAGGCTTCATTCACTGTTATCTTTTTCCTCTTTTTTTTTTTTCCTACTAATTTTTTCTTTTGGTATCATCTAATATTTTCAGCACTGTAGAGATTGTGGGAATTTGTTTTCCATGCCTTTACATAACATTTCCTTCTTTTTTTAAAAGCATATATCAAATATAACTTTTATCATCTTTGGCACTGTTTCTGTCATGCTTTTTCATTTCTAGGTTGATTTAAAGTCATTTTGTTTCTTGTTTGCATGCTTCATAATTTTTGTTTGAATATAGAAAGTACAGAAGTTTACTCTTTGAGTTCTGGATAATTTTATGTTCTTAGAAATACTCATGAGTTTTGTTCTGAGGTAGAGTTCAAAATCTTGGAAAGAGTTTGATTTCCTTGAAGCTTGCTTTTAAGTAGTACTTTCCTAGGTATTCCCTGGTTAAAAGGTTTTCCATTCTGACTGGTAGAAAATCAGATTGTTCTGATCTTTGAGATCCCAAAGATTGCTTTCTCTATTCTTGTTAGTTTCTCTCTGCTCTCCAATTCATGTCAGGGTTATTCCTTAAGTGAAAACTCATCGACGGCTTTCTTCACTTCTCTATGCAGCGCTCTATTTAGTACTCCATCCTGTGAATGTCTCCTGCCTTGACCTCTCCAGACATCAGCTTCATCTAAGCTTCAGTAGACCACCAGACTCTGCCTGGGTTCTGTCCTGTTACATATTTTCAGGATACCAGTCAGAAGGGGAACAGTTACATGAGCTGACTTTCTTTTCCACCTGTCACTGCTGCCCTATGCTGCCTAGTGCCCACCATCTGGAAATGCCCCCTCCCTTCCTTCTGAGTCTCTTGGAGGTTTTGTTCTATTGTTTCTCTTTTTCTTTGGTTTTCAGTCCTTTGCTGGGAATGGAAATGTCATGGTCTTTTCCTTAGGAGTAAATTGACTTGTTTATTTTTCAGCTAATTATGGAGGGGGTGGGTGACCTTGATTTAATCAGGGATTGATCTGACTTGAGCCAGATTTCACTGGTTGTGAGAATCTATGCCTGTTGGATCATTGCTCTACCATTTGTAGCTCCTAGCTGGAAGCTTGGTTTAACTGACTGTTCTTCCTCAGGGTTTCAGAGTTCATCTTCTTGAATATTGGCATCTACTGTAGCTTACTTCTTAGCTGCAGTTTGTGAGTCTGGAACTGATATTCTGGAGAGTATCCCCCTTCATACCTTTCCCTGATTCCCTGCTCTCTGGGTTTCCTGTCATATCACTGCTGCCTTTGTTGTTTTCCAGTGCAACAGTTGGCCAACAGCAATGTTGTTAAACAGCTGCTTTAAAATTATTTTTACTTATTTTTAAATTCCATATATTTTCATCATACTCATTCCCCACTCCTAACTCCTTCCTAGATCCTCTCCTATCTCCCTGCCTTTTCAACTTCATGTTCTCTTTCTTTCTCTTAAAGAACAAATAAAACATGGAGTCCAGTTTGTCTTGGCCAATTACTCCTGAATGTGAGGCTTGCCCTAGAATGTGGTTGATATGCCAAGTATCACTCCAGTGAAGAAAATTGAATTTCCCTTGCCCAGCAGCAACCAGATGCCAATAGTTTATTGCCTAGGGTGGGACTTTTTGCCCACTACCAACAAATTCTTGTTAATAGGAATCTAAAATTAGATGTGTATTAAAAAAAAGTCTGCCTGAAGATGTCTTTTGGTTTTTCGAGATTGTGTAGCTTTGGAGCCTGCCTGCCTTGTAGACCAGGCTGGTCTCGAACTCATAGAGATCTGCCTGCCTCTGCCTCCTGAGTGCTGGGATTAAAGGAGTGTGCCACTACTGCCCAGCACCAAGTTACTTTCATATCAATTTTGTTCCCATTTTAATGGGGGGAGTACTTTACCTGCTTTTGAGGTACACTTGTAGTGTTCAACAACGATATTTGTTCTAGGCCTTTTTGAGATACCAGTGTAGGGCAGGAGGAAGTGCATTAACCAGAACTATACGAAGGAAGCTTCCAGGAGATACAGGCTTGGATCTGAACTTATTGAAACCCACACATTAGCTTTTTTATTTATTTATTTTTATTTATTTATCTGTGACACTGTAAAATTTGAGGTTATTGAGAAAAC